CTGTTTTTATTTGTATGAATATTTGTTTTGTGGGTTTGTTTATTTCTGATTGCATGAAACTGCTAAAACTAATTCTCTGTCAATTCTCTTTCTCTCGTTTCTCTCTACACTTGAGAAGATATTTAGCACCAACTGATAAAAGGAATATATCTTTTGATAAATAAAAAAGGATAAATAAATCATACAAAGCACTTTCTTACACGCGCACACACACACACACACACACACACACTAACACACCCACACACTCCTCTCCCAGGACCCCTCTTCCTCTCTTCATCCTCCTCCCCATCATCCTCCCCCCTCTCTCCCTCATCAAGGGTCATTTGCTCAGTTTCCTGAATGCCTCCCTGCACCTCTCCCTCTCTGATTGGTGCATTTCTGCTAGAAGCTGATTGGTCAGTTCTCCCAGCACCTCCCTTTCTTAACTGGTCAAAACCCCTCCCTCTTTTTTTTTTGGTGGGGGGCACTCCTCTTCTTAGATGGACCTCCTCCTTTGACCCCACCTCTTTCTCAAGGGATCCTCCTCCTACTCTGCAAACAGAGAATGGGTGGGTTAGAGCGCCACCTAGTGGACAGCCCCTCTCACACTGTGCTCCATGCTGCTTGACAACTCACACTGTTCTGCATTAAATACAAAATGAATCATCTCATCCACAGATACTAAATCTAAATGATTGCCAAACATAGAATTATGATGCAGTTTAATATAAAGAAACAGACAAACAGCTCCCACAAACAAATCTGTAAACTCATTTGATCAGTCAAACCTACAGCGCCATCTAGTGGTTACATAACAAACCTACCTAATATTTCAAGTTAAGAAAAAGAAAAAACAACTACAAAAAACTTCATTCTAATCTGTATATATATTTATCGTTGAATTTCACTGCTACAAATTATAATTAAAACTTTTTAATTTTAATAACTTTTAAATAACCAGCAAATTAGAACCTGATGTTATCAGATAAAAACCTATTACTTCAAAATGCAAACTGTTCAGAAACAAGTAAAAATTTCCCTTTTTATCAGAGAAGCCTTCACATTAGGTTGAAAATGATCTCTGACAAATACTGAGCCATGTTAAAAAATGTAAATATACATATAGTACATAAGACATATTCATCCCTTTTTCAAAGATGATTTAACAGCAACTATAGTTTTGGGATTGAGAAAATCGTATTTTCTTGTTCCCACATCTTTGGCAAAAGAAAAAACGTATAGAATTTTTCCAGCTTCATCCTTCAAGTAATATCACGTCTCATCCTGTTTTTCTACACTTTTACCACCTGTCGGGAAACCAACTCAGATAGTTTATTACCTTTTCCTGAACAGAATTCAGTGTGGAAGCTGTCAGATTGTGCTTACAGCCCCAAAAGGCTCAGACCTCAGCACATGTGTCAGGCTAAATACTTAAAACATAAAACTATTTCTGTATTTCCGTGGAAAGACAGAAAAGTACACTCATGTCCTGTCTAGTCCCAGTTCTGTCTACTGGACCCTCTATAGGCTCAAAGTTGTTTTTTAATTCTGAGACTTTTTTTTATTGGATGTGGTCATGTGAGATCCCCGGAGCCATCATCACCATCATCAGCCACAATCACAACAACACAACTCACAATTGCAACCGACCACACGTACAGCACTGTAGCACGAGCCTGTGTGTCTGTCTACCCGGCGTCAGAGCGTCTTCCCATACATCATAATGCAGTGATCTCCTAGAAATGGATTTGATCATTGATAATACTATAACCCGTCACGAGGCCTTGATGAATGTGTCTCCTCGCTGAGTGTACGGGCATGTAAAGTGTTGTGATGATGACCCGGCTGATGTCTAAGTGAGGGGGAAGATAAAACTGGACATAAATCTGCTCAACAGGGGGATAGAAGCACATTCACACAAATCATCCCGGGAATCTGAGGGTGTCCCGTGCAGTCGTGGCAAGGAATTCTGGGCACGCCGCCAGATCCCAGACACAAAGAGACGGGCGAGGATCAACAGTGTCACTGTCGACTCTTCGGCTCTGCTTCCTGTCTCTGTCCCTTCTCCTCCCTTCTTTGGGTCTGCATGTGCTTATTTTTGCTTCTCCTTCTTGATCAGTTTTCCTGGAGTCCAAAAAGTTAATGAATGTTGCAGACAAATGAGCATTACAAGAAAGGCTACATGTCTGGTATACAGAATAGGCTGTACAAGTGTATGAAACATGGATGCAACACTATTCCAAAACACATTATTATTTATGGAAGGCTGCCGTGTATTAAATCAAACGTGCATGGCTATATTTCAGTCAAGTAGACACCGTCTGTTTTCAGGAAAGTGAGCTACATGGGGAGGAACAGAGGAGGGGAGAGTGAGGAGGCCAAAAGCAGGAAAGTGGAAAGATGAAAAGGCCGTCGGGGTGGAGAGGGATGCACATTAAAAACATTAAGCATGAGAGAATTACACTGGCAGAGAACAAGGTCTTTGCGGGAGTGCTCAGATCGCTTGGTGAGAGAACAAAGGGAGAGCTTGAAGTATAGGGAAGCCCTCTGCGGATAAGACCCTGGATAAGTGTCGGAGACAGGCTCGTAAATCCCAGACCCCATAGTCGGCGAGCTGGGGGCCAGGGTCAGAGAGGGAGAGCACAAAGAGAGGGGCTGCGGAGAGGTGGGAGGTGATCGTACAGAAAGATAGACTGAAACCATAACCATAAAAAAAACATCTTGAAGGTTAATACTGAATCACTGAAACCAGATACATTCTGCGTTACATGCTCGCTGCGCTCCGAGCTGAGGACAGGATACAGCAACATGGCAAATGGCAAAAATGTCAGGGTCGTGACGCATGGATCAAATTAAAGTTCCCTGAGGGTTGTCATTATCACCCTGTGTCTTGCACCAGGCATTCCTCACATTCTGTCTGATTGAGGACACAAATGCAGATTCAGTGAGTCACGTGTGAATCTCAATGCACCATTGACACCTTCGTAACAGGAATGGCGGCTGACGACAGCCCCGTGTCTGTGTTGCAAATATTTGTCAAAGCAGAATTGTCCAATGGTTGCTAGAGGTCGGAGCTTTACTGAGTGAATTCAAGGTAAAACAAACAGGGAGGAGATGATCGCCTGTCATCTGTGCTTTTTTAAAGGAGGTTTACACATAAAACACAGACATGCAAGATGGAATATGAGCAAATGGAAGCTCTTTATGAAGAAGATTTAATTAGGTCGATGAGTATAACCCCTTTGACAAACTAGATCCAGCAAATCCATGACACAAAGAGCACCTGCTCCCCAAGCTAAGCATGCAGGTTCCTCCAGTTACTTCACAAATACACCACCTTAGTTTTCTTTCCACACAACCGGTTCAACAATGTCTTCTGTGCCTCTGGAAATGAAGCAGTTAATAGCAGAAAGATGTTTGTGTGTTTTTTCGTCATGCAGGGTCTAATGAGAGGATGTCATGGAGCTGCATCATCGTGAATGCAGGACCCTGTTGCTCATAATTGTCAGAATAATTGGCCTTGGATGCATTAAACTGTCTGTCATTTGGAAGTAGGGCAATGAAGGATTTACTCCTGACTAAAGAGACACACCGCAGCTAAAAATAGTCCTCAACAGCTGTGATATTTTAAATGATATGTTTGTTATCCATTTCTAACGGTTTATATTGTTGTAGGGGTGAATATGATTGGAATATTGAGAGATTGGCTAATGCATATAGTTTATGTCTTTTATGATTTGCAAAACAATAACAGAAATAAACATCAGACTGGCCCCTACTCATCCTGATCCTGCTGTCGGATGTTGTATTTCCTACATCCATTCCTGACATGGAGTTAGAACAGACCCGTCCAAAGACATAGTCTCAGACAATAAATGATCCTGGTTAATATGATATGATAAGAAAAAGACAGTGCCAAGGATTCTACATCTTTGTCTCAAAAACAAATAAGTTATTTTATTTCATTATATAGACAAGATATCCTCAGTGAGGGCTCAGTCTCCAAAATATTACATTAAACATTTGTCTTCGTTTTTCTATTTGTTTGAACCTTCACAAATATGGTGTGTTGCTCTTGTAACTTTTCAAAAAATTACCAGTGTTACTTTCTTTTGACCATAAGTATTGAGATGAATCAACATGAACATGCACCTGCACATTAAAGTTACAGTGTGTAGAATTTAGTGATATCTAGTGTTGAAATCTTCACCTAAATCTTACACACTGGACCTTTAAATAAGTTCCATTATCATAAGAAGCAGATGAGATTACAGCAGGTTATTAATTATAAACAGGAGCAGGCTGCTTGAGGACAGGTAAAAAAAAGAAAGAACCAAAAGTAATGAAAAGAAGAGATTGGGAAAAAAGAAGTGGGCAGTTTATTCCTTCTGTTTTTCATGTTTAAAGAAGTGGCCACCATTCACTTCAATTAAACTGGATTTGGCTGCAACACTGTTTACCCCTGAAACTCCAAAAGTGTGTTGTGGACTCAAACACTTCACCCACCCCTCCATCGTCATAGGGGTGAGTAGATAATGAGTGAATTTTCATTTTTGGGTGAACTATGCCTTTAATCCTTTCAAAGTTCCCTGCTCATTAGTGTAGAAAATAATTTGTCCCTAACTGACATAACCCACCTGTAATTAGTTCTTTTCTTTCTTCTTCTGCATCCTTTTTTCCACCATTGAACCCTTGTTCTTAGTTTAGTTTCTCTATTCTTCTCTCACTCATTTCTTGTTTAATAAAAAATAAAAACCCAGACTGAGGAGCGTTCATTCAGGAGCCCAATTAGGACTTAAATACTGGTTTCAAATATATTCTACAGAGCTGGGTGATTACTTAGTCAGGAATTTGCTCCGTGTAAATGAAGCTATGACCAATGTATGTGCGTGTGCGTTCATCTGTACATGTGTGTAGGTGTCTTCATCACACAGCACAGGTGACGTATGTGGTCAGAGGGTCTTTAATAGCAGGGGACACTGTGGTCAGTGGGAAATAAGGGAAGTTTCCTGCTGGTAACATGTTGACCACAGTGTTTCTGTCAGCGCTCCTGATGCTGGGAGGTCTTGGAGGGGCGGCGGTGTCTGACCTCTACGGGAAATCAATCCACAGCGATAGAACTTTGTTGGGGGGCGAAGACGTAAGACACACGGTGAGGAGACAGCCGCACCAACAAGTAAGAATCATGTAATACTTCAGAAAATTCTTTGTGGCTGCTGAATTTATCTTCGTATGGAGGATCAAAACTGCCAAAATGTATATATATATATATATATATATACAATCAATGAATGAACAAATTGATAATATATAAATAATAAGTAAATAAATGAATACATCAACTAAATGATTAATTGATTAATTAATAAATGGAACAACTCGATAACACATAGATAAACAAGCATAATGCCAAAAATGCTCATAATAATATTGAATACATTTTGACATTGTTTGTTTAATTACGTGAAGATGTCCTTGTTATTTATTTATGTCTGAATTATTGAGTAATTTTTTGTATTTCTTTCTTTCTTTGCTTTTTTTTGGCTGTATTGGTCCTCCATATTATATTGGATGTTCCTTATATTGTATGTGAAGCACTGTGAGCTGCATTTCTTGTATGAAAGGTGCTAAAATGTATCATTTATATTTATTTAAAGTATCAGTTGCTGTATTAACTTGGTGATTGATTATTTGTTCATTTATTCCAGCCCTACTTTTTTAAAGGGAGGCTTTTAACAGATTTTAATGAATGTTGTTTGTTTTGTTATCTCTCTTATTTTTTATAGTTTCCATTTTTTGTTCTGTGTTATTTATTTGATGTTTGTATTTTGTAAAGGAATCGGTAGGTTTGTTTAGATAACTGCAATAGAAAAAATTAGTAGTAGTAGTAGAAGTGGTATTAGTAGTAGTACTATTTGTTTTATTGCTTTTATAACCATCATGGTGCTTTTCCTTAATAATTGCAAAACACAAAAACATTTTTAAGATACAACAATGAATCAATCATAACCTTGTTTATCTACTTTCCTTGTGTTCTGTAACACAACTGTCAAAGATTACACAACATGTTTATCTTTCCAGACAAAAAGTGAAATGCGCAGGAGTTTGGATCTGGAGAGCTTCAACATGCGCGTGACCCCGGCCACCAGCAAGATCAGCCTCCCGACCATCATCAAGCTCTACCCGCCCACTACCAAACCTGTCCACATGCACGCCAACATGCCCATGCGCTTTGGGAGACAGATCGACTCCAATGAAGACAAGGCACCAAACTCCCCCAACATGCCCCAGAGGTTTGGTCGCTCCAGGGGGCGAATCTGCCCCAAGTGTCCTCCTGTCCGTATAGAACCAAACCCAGAGCTGCCTCAGAGATTTGGGAGAAGTAGTCTTTACTGGAGCCTCCTTAAGACTCTGGCCACTGAACGGCTGCTTAAAACTGGATTGCACTGGTAAGCAACTGGTATCTTCATTTTCATCGGTACAATCTCATACTGTACAGGTCACTAGTCTGTCACAAGGGTGATGTCCTTTTTTAACTGTTTTGTTGTGCAAAACACAAACTGCGTGTTCTTTTCCTGTAGGGCTGAAGACTTTACATCTAGTTCAGAGGTGGAAGAAAAATCCTTTGAAGCATGAAGGGGGATACACAGGCCAACAATGAGGTCGACTGTAGCATGTAAATATCAATATACAGTGTTTTTACAAAAAAGACATGTTTAAAATCAAAGTTTAAAAAGAGTGAATTTCAAATTTTCAAATTCTGTAGTCCCTTTAACTGCAGTTATATTGTATGTTTTGATGGAAAACATAAGTGATGATAGTAATAAAAGTATCAAATGAGGTTTTTGTCCTTTTGTTGTCTGTTTTTCTGTTAGTCTACAGGATTACATAGAGACCCAGAGGAGAGATTATCACAACATTTATTGGAGGATTGTCTGGGCTTTAAAATTTAAGTTCAGATCCGGAATTTCTTTTCCACCTTCTTTAACATTTTGAGGGATTTTCAACGAGTGTGTTGATTTCCTGGAGAATAATAATGGTCTTGATGAAAAAATCAGGTATATTCTAGAGGACTGATATTTATTAGTTTGTGCATTTTAGTGCAGATCCAAATAAAAATCCAGATCTAGTGATCGTAAATGTGGTTTGAAAAGGAAAGTGTTGGGCCTTGGCTGAGGTATACTCTCTAGTTTTGTTATCGGCTTTTAAAATTATATCTGGAAATTATAATTATTCCAAGAATCTTTACACTCACAGATGAACATTCTGTTAATGCAGATGTAATGAAAAATAAAAATAGTGTGGCATGAATTCTTAGTTAAAATAAAGATAAAGATGAGAACTGCCAGGGCTTGTTCATTACAGTGATACACCACTAGAGGGAGAGAAAACTCTAAAGGTAAAATACACAATTTGCTGGATTAAGAATATATCTCAACAGTCAGAGGTGAGAAAATGTGTCAGGAAGCCGTCCTTGTATATTATATATATCTATGTGACATGCTGTTAATCCATAATCCACATCATCTGGACTCTTAGGGGCCGGACGACATGAATCACGAAGCAGGACTCCTGCAGGCCATGTCAGTTTGAACACAGTGGATACTGACATGTACAATGTAACAGGGATTTTGGCTGTACATTTTACACTGTTGAATAAGACATATTTTGGTACATGCCTCACAATTTTCATTTCACGTGGCAATGTGTGCTGCAGACATCACAGAGAGCTCTGCTCCAAATTAGCATGTGCATCTTTTAATAAAAGTATTAATATCATCTCCTGAGGTGCATGTCCGCATGACTACCACATCCATAATTAAACTATTGGTCACTGTCAAAGGTTTCCACATGATGACTAAGAACAGATTTGAAAGAGATGAATCATGATTTGTCCAGACAGTGTGTGTGTGTGCTGCTAATCACTTGTCTGAATATGACTCAATGACAAAACAACAGAAGAGAATCTGGTCCTTTTCACACCTCACGTTCTGACATGTCACAGCAGGAAAAGCACAGGTGTGATTCACAACGTGAATAATGGCTGCAGTACATTTAGGTGTGTCACTCAGTTCCAAGGTCGACTCCATCAATTTGCGCATTTACTGAATTTTATTTACGGTGCCTGTTGTCATCTGCTTCAAATATGATGGATATGGTGCATGTTCATTCTGCATGTTCAGTCTCCATGTAATTATTTGCATAAAGAGCGTGGCTGTTTAAAACATGTATCATCCACTGAGCGAGTTCAGGGGAACTGGGGACAGGATGGATAGGTGCCAGATCTCACTGATAATAAATAAGAACTCGCCCTCCTGCTTTAAGCCACGATACTTTCACTCACTCATGCATCGGCACCTCAACTCATGTTCTGTCCAATGCTCTAAAAAGTAAATCTGAGATCACACCATCTTATTTCAAAGCTTCAACTGCAGCAGATGTTTTTTTTTCCCATAACATATTTAACATACCTCACCTGGCAGTGTAGAAGGGTGTGACACACTAGGTTGCGCAATATGTTTTGCACAACCCATTACAAACATTTCAAACCCTCCCTCCAGAAATTTGATCTGTGTTGCTTCGAGTTTTTACATCGGGTCTTATCCCAGACAAATCGCGACAACAAAGGAATCTAAGACGTTTGGCAAAAGGGAGGAAACTTCCACCTGGAACCTCACTATCCTGTCAGGTACACAGTGGAGTTTATGTTTGGTTGTTTTACGCTGGTGTGTGGTGTTTTCACTCTCTTCCTCGTGTTGTTGTCTTCATACCCTCTCTCTGAAACTGTTCACTGCTGTGTTTCCTCCCTGATGTTTTCAGTATAATGGGACGTCTGTATTACATGCTCTATTATCAGCAAGTAAAAAAAGCTGCGACTTGGTTTCTTCATTTGCTTCACAACACAACCCTGCTGCATTTTTTTCTTCTCTCTGAACACAATCACTCACATTTCACGACTTGTTCTGCAGCAATCCGGAAGTTTCAGGGTAACGTTGGATTTCCTCTGTGTCCTGGGTTGTGTCTCATATTCTGTCTCATTTGTGTTTTTCCACTAAGTTGATGCGTTGTCGTACACTTCCACATTTGCAGCTGTGTTCTTTCCTCCCTGCAGCCGCTGGTCATGGGGGACATCCAGAAAGGGAAGAAGGTATTTGTCAAGAAATGTTCCCAGTGTCACACAGTGGAAGAGGGGGGACGCCACAAGGTGGGACCCAACCTGTGGGGTCTGTTCGGGAGGAAGACGGGTCAGGCGTCCGGCTTCTCCTACACAAAGGCCAACATTGAGAAAGGTATGGATCACTGCTGCAACAAAAGTGACTGAAACAGAGGAGACATCAAGAGATCAAATTGTGTTCTGATTTTGAGCAGTAAGAAGTTGTCCGGCCATTTGCTCTTCATTAGTGGACAGGGCAGCACTCGATATATTTTAGCTTGTGGCAGCTATAGTTAGCACAAGCTGTTGCTGTAGTAATTGAAGTCTGATGTTTCAGGAGACCCAGCAGAAATATTTATTAGCACTTTAAGGAAAAGATGAAGTCAACACAGTGTCTGTTGCCCTATATGCACGAGTATGTGTATTTATCTCCTCCACAAACTGGATTCTCATTCAGTGAAATGATTATTCTATAGCAAGTACCAATTCAGACTAGGATAATTTGATGTTTTTGGTATTTTCACAGCCATCCCAGAGACAGACAGTGACCTGTTGATTTTAGGGCATATTTAAAAGTCTCATAAGTATAATGTTGATGAAATGTTCCCTCACACTTCTTTTGTATTTTATTACAGTTTCCTTCTTGTGGAATATGCTTTG